ATGCTTGTGATTTACACAAACAGTAATACCGGTATTCAATATTGAATGCTTTATTGAGGGTAATGAAGAAACCACAGGCTGATTAAAACAGAATTTCGGACATTAATTGCATGATAAATATAAACTGACGTACTTTGAATAGTTGCTGGACTAACGTGTAGGCACTGAATATTTATAATTTGATAGTAACAAATAAACTCAGTGAGCTGGGAGATTCAGAGACTAATGACATCTACATTGGGGCTGCAATAAACCACCTTGGTGGTACAAATGCATGTGTTGTAAACATATGTACAAATGCAAATTCAAATTCAGTAAACAACATATTAACATTTGTTCTGACAAGAGATGATAGATGTATGATATATTTTGATAAAATCACTATTTTTCGAGATGATTTTACTGATAATATTTTCGTGAACTTTGTTTCATTGAGAAAAGGAGTTAGATGGCAGGGTAAATACTGTTTCCTCAAAGTATCTAATGCTTAGCAATGAAAAATATAATGATATTCATGTGCGATGCTTTTAGGAGTGCATAGTTGACACGTTCTCTCATCCCTTGTAATATTATACCAGCGGCCCTTCTCAATAGGTAAACTATGGTTACATGTTCTAAATCTCAGTAATGGTAAAGAAATGCGTTTTGGAAATAGGAGATATACATCACAATTGGGAAATGGCTTAATGGCTGGGGTCATTATCAATTTGAAGTCACGGCATACAACCATCAGATAACGGTTTTAGTGACAGGAATATGTATTGGCCCTCGTGTAAGGCTCTGTCCTATCTCCATGGGGTCTGACCTCTGAGTGCTGCTGTCATCACTTGTGTTGTTTAGAAACTTCAACCCCTACTCTTACTTGAATGCTAGATGTCGAGGTACAAGATCTATCTGGAACAGCAATAAACTTATCTAACTTGTCTCCAAATTCAAACTTTTCTTTTGTAAAATATGAGCAGGGAGGATATAGATAAACCCCTTAATAAAAGAAAACTGTGTAATGGAAGTAAAACGACCAGCGCCTGTCTTAGGGACCGTTCATAGGGGAAGTGATGACGACGTGTGTGTGTGTTGGGTGGGGGTGGGTGGTGGTGTGGTGGTGGTGGGGGGGGTTAATCAATTTTGTACACATGTACTAGCGGGGAGGAGGTCAGCACTTTTGTACATAACATTATTTTAACATTATGCTTAGAAATATGGGTGGGTCATTCATTGGTTTTGTACATGGAATGCAGGGGGATCACATACTTTGTACATGAATCTTAGAGGGGTTCACCCACATTGTATGTGCTTCTCCATAACAATCATCATTCCACACACCCTCCCCCCACCCCCACCCCACAGCCATACATTATGAACGGTCCCTTATGCTTAAAGCTGTGCACAAGGCCACTCTAGCTTTGTGTCATCCCAAGTGCTTGTTAATTAAGAGTTGACAGATGAGAATGTGAGGTCAGATACAAGACCACTGGCGAGGATGTTGGGAAACTTGTGGAAATCTAGACTTGCTTCATTTAGTGCTTCAGCATTGCAGAGAGGGCTAGGCTGTAGGGGAAATAATGTGGTTCAGGGACTGTGAGACAGACTATATAGTTGCCTAAATTCAATACTGAAATAGGTCATCTTGCCGAAATAATTAACATTACATATTTATGTCTTTATATACTGTGATAAGATGATGAGCAGTTACTTAATCCCACTGGCCTCAAGTACCCACTGGATATTTTGCTTGTAAATCACATTCTGTCATTCACCTGATGAAGGGGCAGGAAGTAGCGCTGAAGGGGTCGTTGTCGGCACGGGTACTACAGATATGTACCGCAGGTACGTTTCTGTATACAGAAACGTACCCTGGCCATAATGAGAATACAGAAACGTACCCTAGGACGATGCCATTCCCATTCTTGATCGGAACTGTCATGCTGTTGTATTAGATACATTTGATTGCGGTATGTATGTAATGAGAATACACAGTAACGAATATTTCGCGATGCATATGAATACCACTTGCAATCAGTTGAACAGGAACAACTACATACGGTTTCGGGTTTGGATTGCGGAATATGGACTCGTCCGCCTTTTAGGGTACTGGGTACGTTTCTGTATTTTGACTTTGTTTAGGGTACATATCTGTGTATACAGAAACGTACCTGGGGTACGTATCTGTAGTACCTGTGCCGACAACGACCCCTTCAGCGGTAGTAGCCCAGAAACGCTGTGTTGTAAACATTGAAGATGTTGTAAATCCATACCATACGTTGTGTTACCTTTCAACTTCTAAATGCTCATCAATTAACATTACCAATTTTCATTGAAAAATGACAGTAGAATTTAAACTTACCTTTCCAGACTTTATCTTCTCAAGGGAAGCATCAGGAACCCCCCTATTCCGCAGAAACTCCTCCATGTTTTCTCAGAGGAGAGAGTCTGTGAGAGTGAGCTTGTGGTGAAATGTCAACACGCTATCTCGAATTTTCAAGATGTCATCTTGAATTTTCAAGATATCATCTTGAATTTTCAACTTAATATCTTGAATTTTCAACTTAGTATCTTGAATTTTCAACTTAAAATCTTGAATTTTCAAGATAGTATCTTGAATTTTCAACTAAATATCTTGAATTTTCAACTAAATATCTTGAATTTTCAAGATAATAAAAAAATATCAGCGGCCCTAATAGGCTTCCGTAGGCTTCCGTAAAATGCTCTTCGTTCATTATGCGCATTTCCAAATTTTCTGTACACGAACTGTGGCCGATGATAATGGAGCAAAGCAGAGACAATGTCACCTCTGTGTATTTTTCGTATATTTCCTTTAGGTTATCTAACTCAGAGATTCTATGCTTTCTTGCACAGTATCATGGCAAGAAGGACATAAGTATAAGGACACTGAAAAGGGTTTTGTCCAGATGCAAACATCACAGGAGAAAAGGCCATTCTGATATCATGGAAGTAGCTAATTGTAATGGTTACAGGTGGATGCATCGTAAATGTCAGGAGAACGGACTCATAGTTTGAAAGGAAACCATTTGGATACTTATGAACCTAACTGACCCAGAAGGAATAAGAAATCGCAAGAAACGCCGCCTTGCGCGCTGCAGTTATAATTCAACTGGTCCGAATGTGGGCGGATATGATTTAGACAATAACTAACGAGTGACGGGAAATAACAGATTATTTTTCCCGAGTTATATTAATTACGTAATTCTCGAGCTTATAACTGCGGCGTGCAAGGTATCATATCAAAATGGTTCCCTTTCAAACTATGAGTCCATTAGACTGACATTCACCTGTAACCATTACACTTACTCGATCCCAGATAGCATTCGGACGTTGGGCCAATGTCTGAATGCTATCTGGGATGTGTTACACTGTTGCAAAATGAACAAAGCCACTTCCATGATATCAGAATGGCCTTTTCTCCCGTGAAGTTGCGCTATATAAACATCCTATAATAATCCTATATTTCTTGCCAGACAGCAGTGAGGTGAGATGAAATTGGGTTTAACGTCGTGCTTGAGTATATTTCGCTCATATGACGACGTGCATACGTGTGTATGTGTATGTGCGGCTGCTTGTACTAGCCCAGATTTAAGCCGGTTTTATAGTGTTAGCCCACTGAGATACCATGCCGCAGTGAAGCATGAATACCCCACTCAGACACATTATACTGACTCCGAGCCGACCAGTCCTTGTTGTACCCATTAATCCCGAGCGCCAGGCAGGGACCAACAAGTACCATATTTTAACGTCTTTTGGTATGACGTGGTCGGGGATCGAACCCGCGACCTTCCGCTCTCTGGGCGGACGCTCTAACCACTACACCACGGAGGCGGTCGCCAGACAGAAGCAACCCCATCCTAACGCTACTACAAAAATACACAGAGATGATATTGTTTCTGCTTTGCTCTAACCACTACACCACGGAGGCGGTCGCCAGACAGAAGCAACCCCATCCTAACGCTACTACAAAAATACACAGAGATGATATTGTTTCTGCTTTGCTCTAACCACTACACCACGGAGGCGGTCGCCAGACAGAAGCAACCCCATCCTAACGCTACTACAAAAATACACAGAGATGATATTGTTTCTGCTTTGCTCTAACCACTACACCACGGAGGCGGTCGCCAGACAGAAGCAACCCCATCCTAACGCTACTACAAAAATACACAGAGATGATATTGTTTCTGCTTTGCTCTAACCACTACACCACGGAGGCGGTCGCCAGACAGAAGCAACCCCATCCTAACGCTACTACAAAAATACACAGAGATGATATTGTTTCTGCTTTGCTCTAACCACTTCACCACGGAGGCGGTCGCCAGACAGAAGCAACCCCATCCTTGTTCACTTGTATATACCAGTTACATCCGCGATATATAAATACCTTTTATGTTCGTTAATTACCTGTAACATTTTCTTATTATATGTTGATCGTTAAATATACACATTAGTGACATCACAAGGCCAGATAGGACAAAATGATATGATAGATGCACAATCGACATGAAAGACATACATTTGTAACCTACATTTAGTTAGCAACTTGTTTATATTTATATCAACATTTTCTCAATTATACTGGTGTATCAAGGGCCAACGTGTGTATCTTTGTCAAAATATCCGTATTTTTCACAATCTGCTTAAAATGGTATAGTATCGAGTATAATCAGAATTACTGCAGTTAACAAGTATCTGAGTTATTAAACTCTTCAGTTACTCAACAATGTTGTCTTTCTGGTTAACACGTGGGTACTGTTCTAAATATAGATACAAAGCCGACAAATAGTGGTTGTATAACAACTAATACATTATATCGGCTGTCGTTATCCTACTTCAACACTAAATAAAGATAACATATGGTATCAAAATAATCTTCAAGTGAAATATGGTATGCTCTGTTATTTTAGATTGTATCAAATGGTCAATTATTAGATATTACACTAAATAATGTAACATTGCTTCTAAATTGGAATTAGTTATAAGAAAATAATATCAGTAACCAAGCCGGGGATTCCAAGATGGCCGCGCCCATGTAGCCATCTGTCAAGTAATGGGTGAACAGGTGAAATTCGTATTACAGGTAGCTGTCTCTTTTTTCTGTATGTTCTGTTGACAATGCAGTCTTGCATGTTGCAAATGACCCTTGAAAAAAATAGTGTCAATGTTCTGGTGACAATACTGAACAGTTAAGTTTCTCACTGAAGTTGTCTATGCGAGTTCATTTCATTAAACAAACAGATGCTTGCACTAAACCTATCATTTGTCTAAAAAGTGAGCATAACTGTTAATTACACCGATGAACCTTGGGTTGAAATGAAATCAATAGAAACATAGGACATATTGGATTTCTTGTATTTTATTACTTTTTGTACCTACCTTGATATACAGGAGGATATGGACAGAAGTAACAGTTAATAAGTTGGCCACGGACAGGGAAACCAGCGATAATGGAGACTTTTACACTCTACTCAGCCATCCTCCTTGGTGTGGTCAGTGTATGCTATTTCAACTCACTCAGCTGTGGCTTTGTCTTTGATGATGTTTCTGCTGTGGTTGACAATAAGGATTTGCGACCACGGACCCCAGTTTCAAGATTATTCTGGAATGACTTCTGGGGCACACCAATGGCAAATGTAAGTCTAACCCATCAGGAGGCTATGATCGATTCTAGGGCCTAGTCCATACATTCATCACACATGTAAATAGCCACTGATTTGTGCCCAGTGTCATATCTTATTATGCCTATGAGAGCAGATATGAAAGTAAGCAAAATGAAACTTTGTGCATCAGCTGATGTCTCTAAATCATCTAGAACAATCACAGGCAGTATGTTGTCCTTGCACAGAAATTTCTCAAAAGTATATTGGGAGCACCTTTAGAATACAGCACCACAACCTCGCGTGAGGACGATCTCTGTCATAGGTCACGTGTCATTAAGACAAGCAACCAGTTTGTGAGAACCCGTCGGACGCGAACCCGCGACCTTCGGATTGTTAGCTCTACAGCTAACCGACTGAGCTACGTCCACACTGTTGCGCAATGTGCAAATTTATCGAGTCATTCCTGTGACGTCACGGAAATGAACGGAAAGAGTCGAATAGGTCACGGACAATTACGAATGCTACGGGTAGACTTGGTGTCTCGTGATTTTATTCTACGGACAATTGCCGAATGGATCCGATGCCATTTGGCACACTCGTCCCATTCCGTAATCTACAAATTAACGTGTGGCGTGGAATGAGCCGATATAGCCTCAAACTGAAAAGGGTTGTTGACGTCAGGCGTCAGACGTAGATTTCACGGTGCATGCATGAATGACGCGCTTTTATATAAATCAGTGATTTTGTGACAGAAAAGTGATGTAGGGAACACTGTAAGGATAATGTGGATCGCACTAAAGAACGAGGGAGACATGAGCATGTGTAGTGACGGCACGAGGGTGAGTTAGCCTTCGAATCATTACTTTACAAAATTTATGTTGCGTGTGAAAGAGGCTTGAGTGCAAATTCCAGGCCAATTTCCATTAACCCAAAATTTCTACATTAACCCATTTCATAATGTACTTTCGACGTTTTTGGTTTCCCGTTTTTGTGTGAAAAAAAAGTATTAAAATGCAAAAAGGAAAAACTACAAATGGTACTCACGTATTACACCGGACATGTACCTACTATATTGGATTAGGTCCCTAACCCTAAGCCCTAACCCTAACCCCTTTGAAATAATCCTAATAAATAGAATGCATTGACCGAACCACCGGACATGTACCTACTATATCGCATTAGGTCCCTAAGCCCTAGCCCTAGCCCTAACCCTAGCCCTAGCCCTAGCTTTAGCTCTAACCCTAACTCTAATCCCTTGAATTAATCCTAATAAATAGAATGCATTGCCCGAGCCGGCACAAACACGACTGACGTGTCTAGTGTAATGCATTATTACCGCTTCGAAAAATATAATACTAATAAAACAATTTTCTATGTAATGGTGCAAATTACTGTATGACAAAAATATATATGTAAATTAAAAAAATTACAAAATACAAAATACACAAAACATAACACCTCAGCAGCCCGTAATACAAATAAATCTGAGCGTATTAGTGAAAAAAGAAAAATATTTCAAACTGGTACTTGCAAAATATTGCGCATCCCCCGGTATACAACTACTGGAAACTCTCAACATCATTGGGCTTATGCAATGACATAGCTCGTAGAGATGAAACACCAGTGAGCGGAGCTTATACGCACTCGCTGAGCCAGACAACCGTGTTGCCATGCAGGCGTCATAGGGCATTGTTTCGAGAACGTGCTTTCGAACAAAATGACATTACATTACGTAAAAGGGTATTATGACATATTTTTAAAGTTTGTGGTAGTGTATTCTAAAGGTAGGCCGTATATTGTTTAGAAGTAATAGATATAGTAATCACATTTGCAACTGTTTTTCAAACAGCTCTTTTACCATTGTTCAATTTGTAACTGTTAGGAGAGAAGTCACAAGTCCTACCGGCCTTTATGTGTGCTGACATTTCGGCTCAACTACAGTGTCAGTGAGCTTCAACCCCTGACCTACCACTTGGTGAATGCTGTACTGCATGCAGTTGTCTGCATCATGTTCATGAAGTAAGTTCAAATAATACAATGTATTTCACATTATTGCTTGTTTGCCTGATAAATAAAATAAAATATGGTTGTCTGTTCCTGGTTTTCTGTTTATGACCAGTATTCTTGTTCAGGATGTGCGGTATGTTTCTGAAGCAGTGGACATCTTTTCTGGCTGCCTTGATGTTTGCAGTCCACCCTGTGCACACAGAGGCGGTATGTATGCATGTCAGATGTCAAATTTCTTGAAACTTTCAATTCATCAGATTGTTTTGGTAATATATATTGATATTTATTTATGAGGTTTGTATCTTGTAGTAACTGGTGTCATCTGTTAGAAGTTGATAGCCTGTACCTCATCTTCCTCATGTGTTGTTTTAGTAGTTGAGAACCTTGGAGTCATCTCCTCCATGTGTTTCCCTGTACAGGTGACAGGGGTTGTGGGTCGAGCAGAGGCTCTGTCGTCCATCTTCATTCTTGCTGCACTGATGTCATACATCAAATGTACTGGGTTCAGGAAGCCGATAGGTGAGTTGAGCAGGAGTTGGCCATGAAATACCCAATGCTGTTATGATGGTAATTTGGTAATCGGGGAGGATTAATTGCTGAAGACCAGAACATGGGTGTCATGATTATGGTCAAGATCATATCCCAAGTACACGATACTTGTTCTAAGAGCTGAAATATATACATTGTTAAACTTATTTCTATCTCAAGACTTGCACCGTCCTCTCCCGCCTCGACGCTGAGTGGAACGAATGAGAACTTTCTCTGTAGGCCTCTCTTGTCCATACGCCCCAGTTCTCCAGGCTGCTCTCCTTATAGGACAGGTCCTTAGTCATTTGCTAATTCACTCCCCTACCTACCCACGTGGCTACTTCAGAGTGATCATTCTACTTCCTGTCGCACCACTGTGTGGACTTATTGTGAAGTTCTCAGTATTCCTTACAAGTTAACATAAATAAAGAAAGAAATACATGTAAATCATTGGTGGTTGACCCTAAATAGCGTAATTTTGCGCACAGTGTAAAACGATATTTTCTTCCTTGCATCTACACTCATCATGTGTGGATTGCATTGGCCTGTCTTCCTGGAGCAAGCACTGTGGGGAATGTTCTCCCTTATCAAAGATGCTTTTAGAGCAGCCGATCTACATCGTCAAATCGCTGAACTGTTTTGCCACACCAAATCGGTTTAAACATTTAGGATCACCGAACAGATCCAGATCACACGGGTGGAAATAACCCACTGCCCGACGTCCGAGTCCAGTGTTTTTTTCTGTCGGGCAAGCAAATTCATATCGCCAAACCGCTTCCCCTGGCCGTTCAAAGTCACTGAACCGTCATCATTCATTGAACTGTCAGCATTCATCAATCATCTGTTCCTCGGACCTTGCCTACCAACTGAGCTTATTCAATGAAACCCTGCTTGTGTCAGAATTGCTGACCAGTCCAGGAAGTTTACGTCACCTGTCTGGGACCTTTCGGTTGTCCTCTGTCACTTGGTATCCAGTGACTGTGAGCCATTACAAGAAAAGAATTTTGAACAGATAATGTTTAAAACTTTCTTCCTAGTAGTGTCAGAGTGACACGCACTTGATGTTAATCGTGTGTGTTTCGAACGAAAAAGGCATGGCAAAGTATTTCTGGGACTTCGTTGAGACTTCATCGTGAAGAACCAGATGCCCGGTCAACCGGATAGAATGTTTGTTAACCATTTTTCAGTCCATATGATGTTAAAGATTTATCTCTCTGCTCTGTCAGAGCTCTACGTATCTTACTTGCTGCCTCTGAAAAACGCCGCCGATTTCGTAAGAGGTTATTCATCCTGCTTTTCTACACATGAGGCCTGGGTGTTAGCCTCAACGATGGCCTTACATAGCAACTGCTCCCTTCTTTGAGTGGCATTTTAGAAGTTGGGAAGTACAATATAGAACAAACTTTATGGATAACAACTTTTTTTTATATTATTATTATTTATTTGTGAGTGCGACGTTTTGATACAGATTCTTGTACCGTTGTCAAGCACAATGCTCTCTGATGGCCATCATGGAGGATTGTTTCTGGTGTTTTGACACGGCCTTCTCGTAACATTATTTGAGGGATTTTTCGGTTACGGGCGTCATATATCACCCTGAACCGGCTTCCAGTTGACATTCCGATGTTAATTATGTTGTGTATATAAAAAATCAACAAGAACGCGGCCGGTATGGTGGAAAAATTATCAGGGCAAGTAATTTCACATGTGCCACTGTACTGGAGTACACTAGCAATTTTAAAGTTATTTCCACCTATGTCACAGTCCAGTTACGAGCGTCCAAGGTCTGCACCAGTTCGGACCTCATGTCCTGGCCCAGCAGTTGTCGTCGTCCCATCAACGCAGATGAGTACAGTGTGTGTCTATGCATTCGCTCTCGTGTACATACTCAATAAAATTTTGAATTTTATTTCTGATATTTTTTCTTATCTTGACTCATGATCTTTTGGTGTTAAGCCCATTTCTAGTGTCCCCCGCCGTGATATTGCTGGAATATTGCTAAAAGCGGCGTAAAACTAAACTCAGTCAGTCATTATCTTTTGCTTATCTCCCTTTTCCTTGCGAATGGAGAACACTTGAATCCCTCGAAGTTCCCGAAGCAGACGTAAAAATACACTCACCCACGAGTTACCTCCCTTGTGCCCTTTTCCCGCGCAAACAGTCATATGACCTGCCTAACTTGTCACTCTCTCCCTTTTCGCCCAAGCGGATGGTTGGGTGAGCACTGGAGTCCCATATACGGCATTAGATCCTTTTTTTATTTAGGTCCTATTCTTCAAAATTACGCTGTATATAGATTTGGGTGTAACTACTATATAGTATTTGTAAAAAAAAATTGTAAAAAAAATTATTTACATTTGAGTTGTGTTTTCATCGTCATGTAACTTTGTTTACATTTCATGAAATCTTGCAGTGTTTGCAGGCACAGGTTATCCGTAGCTGATCCTCACCCCCAGTGCCTTCGTGCATAAAACCATGTTCTTCCAGCTTGCACTGTACTTATTGTGTTGATTTATCAAATCTTCAATTTAATCAATATTTGTCTTATATCTATAGACGTGCCATGGATCAGGTGAGAAAGTCATCTCAAGTCACGGTTGATAAAACTGGAGATCAGCCTTCAAACCGTATGTTGCTTGCTACTGCTGATGTTCATAATACTGGTGCTATGTTTAGTGCGTTACAGGGGCAGTCTGCTGGTAAGGGGACCAAGAAGAGATCGTCTACAACGAAGTCGACTCTGTCTCAGGCTAAGAAAAAGACGTCATGTTCTTCTACAACGCAGAAGAAAGCATCTGTTACCAGATCGGAGGGCAAATATACGCGTGCTAGTACATCAACGTAGCAGAAATCCTTCAACGAAGAGATATTACCTCCGCACGAAATAGACGTCTTTGATGACCCCCCATTACTTCTACCCGAAGTATCTATGAGATCAGCGACTCAATCGACCTCTACAACTACTAGATGGTCCCCTACACAGGTCACAGCAGGACAGCTGTTTGACGAACTACAGTGGAAACCGCCTAAGTAAAGACCGCTTAACTAAACAGACCTGATAAGTAAACACTTTTCTTTGGTCCCGGCAAATTTCTTCATTAATTATCACTATTAGAGTCCTGTTAACTAAACTCGGATAAGTAAACAATACCGCTTAAAGGTCACATGCAACCAAAAAATCAAACATAATTAAAACACAATTATCACTTATTCATGACATATAATATACATTGCTGGTTACGAAAAAATATATAAACAAAATTATAAGCGTACAATCGCAAATCGAAAGTGCAAAATTGTGTACTTCGGTTTACTTCCCAAGAAACGAAGCAGCCGGGATACCGAACCCAGTCAGAGCGGGTGGGTGTGCACTCAAGTGTAACGGCTGGTTCATTTGCAGATGCCTTCACGGCTCATTGTGCGTATATATATATAGAGATGTTGGGTTTTGTAAATACATGCTCATTTTTTGTGTATAACATTTTGCAATCAACAGACATCATAACATGTCATGTGTTCAAGTATCACACCTGCCTGTCTGTGTAATTACATAATGTGACAGAGACCGAACTCGGGCCATAAATCAATGCATTTTGTTTATGGTGTATAGCCTGATTGGTGTTAAGTTCAAATTGCATGTGGTCAGTGATAGCAGCTGTGTATTGAATATTGTCATTAGCAGACAGGCAGGCAGACACACAGATGTCAATAAAACAAGACATTGAGTTTTGTCTGTGACAACGACATATCTATATCACAGTTAGAAATTCTGTCAACGCTAAATAATGACATTGCTTTTAAGTATCGAACTGAGAAAGTGTCTCGGTAAGAAGAACGTGTGGTGAAATAGACAAATGAAATTATATAAACAGTTAATTTACTGTCATAACATATAAAAAGCTTGCGCCTGTGAGATATCAACAAAACATTAGAAAAATAGCTCACACCAAAGCCTTCACCGAGTATTCACCCGACAACCCGCTTCCAAGCTGCGCGAACCTATTTACTTGCGCACGTGCTATGAGCGCAGCCCAGCTGTTGAAACCCGTTTTCCCCAGAAAAGTCTGGGGAAAATTAGTGAAACGTTTGAACTCCGATTTCGCGCGTTTTTTTTCATCACGTTATTTTTCAACTTTATAAGTTGAATTTGCATTTTTGACGATTTGTTTCGGTATGTCCATACCGAAAAGGTATCAGAATCTGCAAAGTTGTGTTTTACGTTGCGTGTGACCTTTAAGTAAACATCTTCTCACGGTCCCTGGAAGTAAATTACTTAACAAAAGACGCTGGATAACTAAATTAGCAATCACCACATAAACCAACATGAGGGGCAGTCGTGTCAGTCTCCAGTCAAACAAACATCCTACTTACAGCTCGCTGGCGTCAAGCAGTTGACAATACACTGACAACTGGAGGCCAGCCCTGATAAGCTGTTCATTGTTACATATGCATACTTATCCATGCCTATGGTTGTCATTTGCAGGTTTTTATAAGTTTGGATAAGTAAAATACCTGATAAGTAAACAATTTTGGCGAGTCCCTTGAAATTTTACTTATCAGGTTTCCACTGTACCTCTTACTTCTCGGAGTGAAGTTGAGGCACAGAACTCATCAGCGTTCGCAAACGCTTTGTCTACACCACAGCAGCTTCAACCTATGCAGAACTTTGACCCGGGTGAATTTATGACAATTCACCAACCAGATGATGGCCATGATGGAACGTAGATTCCAGGAGGACGCGAAGGCTAGGAAAAGCCTCTCATCTACCGACATCGTGCACAAACCTATGGATCTGTGCAAACCTACTTCTCATAGAAGTACGTCTCAAGACTACGTTGGCGAACGTACACCTTTGCGAAGGTCTCCACAGTCGGAAGACTCTGTCATCTTGGAGGAGGATAGAAGACATGAGATGCCTACTCATCGTTCTACATCTGCGAACCCTCAACATTCGAAAACATTGAAGGATCCAGCTCCTACAAGTAGCCGCT